TGGGCTCTTCTAGTCCTCACTGGCCTCGGGCATGTCCCACGACCTCTCTGACCTCAGTTTCACTGTCTGCAAAACAGTCCCATGACCGCCGAATTAGAGATTTCTCGTGGTGGTAATCCAGGCCTGCCCCACACAGGACGGAGGAGAGGGTCGCTGTCCTCCTGATCCCTGGGCCTGGGCTGGGGCCAGGGACGGGCCGTGCGCCTGCCTCGGGGGGCGTGAGAGCACACGGGAGGGCGGGGCTGCGGGCCGACCCCAGCTCATTTCCTGCTTGTCCCGGCTCCCGGGGAGCCGAGTCCCAGGTGGGTCCCAGAGCCTGTGGGAAGTCAGCGGTGGGGGGACCTGTGGCCCGAGCCCCATCTGTCCCCGGTGGGCCGGCGGGCGGGGGCAGCACCCGGCAAAGGGAAGGGGTGCACACGCGTGCGTGTTGTGTGTGTGAGTGCATGTATGTGTGTATCGTGTGTGCAAGATGTGTGTGTATCCTGTGTGTGCAAATGTGATGTATCGTGCGAGTGTGTATGCGTACATGTAAGTGTCACGTATGAACATGCGCGTGCACACGTGTGCACGTGTGTGTCGTGTGAGAGTTGTGTGTGGCGTGTGCGTGTGCGTGCACCAGGCGGAAGAGGAGCAGAGCGGAGCAGAGGGTGCTGGGGCCGTGGGGCCGGCGGCCGGGGCACTTCCCCAATCCGGGGGGCCTGGGCGGGAGCCTGGGTGTCTCCATCTCGGGCGGGCGTGTCCGGGCCTGGAGCCGGTCCAGGGAGGAGCTAATGACCAGCGCGAGGCGCACTGGGCCTGCCTCTCGCCACCGGGCCGGCCCGCGGCGCAGGGAGGAAGTGTGGCAGGAAGCAGGGGGTGGTGGCGGCCACCGTGCAGTCAGCCGGGCCGTGGGCGGCTGCCGCCTGTCCTGGCCAGCTGAGACGGCCCGCAGGGCCAGCCAGCAAGGAGCCGGGAGCGGCCACCTGGGGCCTGTCGTCCTGCTGCCCCCCACGCCCCCTCCCCGTCCTCTGGGTCGGGAGCTGCCTCTGAGGAGCGGGACGCAGGTATGGGGTGCGGGGGGCGGGGGGAGCGCTGGGGCGGGCGGGACAAGTACTGGCCCAGCGGGCATGGTCCACGGAGCCGGGGCCTGCCGCCCACGGTGGGGTCTAAGACTAGTCTGTCAACTTTCACTTTCTTGAAGGCTCCTCTGGCATCTTGGGATGGTGGGGAGCAGAGCTGAAGTCGGGGGAGTCTGGAAGGCTGTGGGGGCCCGTGAGGAGACCACAGCAGCCGATGAAGCCCCTTGCTTCTGTGATCTTGCTTGACCCCCCTTCCCGTGGGCACTCAGCGAGCGCATGCCAGGGTCTGGATGGGGCGCGGAGCCGAGTCCGAGTCCGGGTGTCAGGGTCTCGAGTGGGCCCCCACACTGGGGGGGATGCCACATTGGACAGACACCACAAGGGACACCACAGGACAGCCCAGGGTGGCTCTGCAGCTCTGACCTGGCCACTCTGAGGTCACCATCTCTGGGCCTCTTTTCTATCCACTGGCTGGGGATGAGCGCTGTGACTAGGGGCACCAGCCACACAGTTGTAGGGGAGGACGCGGACCCAGGACGTGTATTGCCAGGTCCGGCGCTGGGCCCGTGCTCCAGCACACCACTGAGACCCTCTCCCGGCTTCCAGTGACCCCTCCGGGAGCCCCAGCTCCCCCCCAGCTCTGTCTGTGGCAAAGCAACGTTGGTGGCAGTTAGTGGAGCTGGTGGTGCTGGGAGCCGTGGCCAGACTCCTGGTGGGAGGCGGGGTGCATGCCGGTTACGGGCAGGGGCTCCAGTGCTGGGCTCGGCCCCTGTGGGTTCGAATCCCGTCTGTGCCCCCCAGCCGGGCCGAGGCCCCGCGGCAGCTCACCCAGCTTGTGAAATGGGCACAGTGGCGCCCCCTCCCCCGGTCATCAGGAAGATTAGCTGGGCGTGCTTGGTTAGCGCCTCAGGGTGGTGGCTGTTGGGTGGGGTGGTCAACAGTGCTGTTGGTGACAATGACACATCCTGTATGGGGCGCTGTGCACCTGACTCACAGAATGCCGTGATGGAGGTGAGGTGGACCCCGCCTCCCAGCAGAGGAGAAGGTAGGGGGTTACAGGTGAACCAGTGTCCCGGGGCTCTCAACGATGGGAACTGGCTGCAAGGGAGGCTCCTTCCCGCCTCTTCCAGCTCCCGGGGCTCCAGGCGCTCCCGGGCTCCTGGCCTCATCCCTTCCTCTGGCCTCTGTGGTCTCGTGGCCCCCGCCCCATGTCCGTCAGTGTCGCTCCTCTTATAAGACACCGTCACTGGATTAAGGCCCCCCATGCAGTATGACCCCATCCTAAGGAGTCAGATCTGCAAAGACCCCATTTCCAAAAAAGGCCACCTTCTACAGTGCCAGGATCTGGGGGGACACCAGGGGTGACCAGACAATTCCCCAGAGGTGCTTCTTGGTGAAGGGGACAAGGTCTCCATGGGCCCACAAGGTATTGGTTCTGTACGAGCCCCGTGAGTGCTCCGACCAGACCCCCCCAAACCTGTCCGGGGTTGGGAAGGTACCGCCTCTCCCTCTGTGGACCCACATTTATTAAGCGCCAACTGTGATCGTGGAGCACCATCGGTTTACTCCTTTGACCTCCTCGTGGGGCAGGGGTGTTTGCTCTCACCCTCCAGGAGGGCAGAGTGAGGCGTGGAGAGCTCTCCCAGCCCCCTGGGAGCTGCGTCTACAGCAGGACCCGGGGCCTGTGAGGCCAAGCGGGGCACTTACAGGAACCCGCGGGGGGCGGGGAACTCTCCTGCACAGATTGGGCTCACTTCCTCATCTCCGCCTAGGACTAGGAAGCCCCGCGCTGAGATCGTCCCTGGCGGCCCCGCCTGCTCGGGCACATCGTCACTGGGCAGGTGGGAGGGTCTTTGAGCCCAGGAAGCCTTCCCTTTCCTCAGGAAGCTGTCCCTGAGGCTGTGGGGAGCAGGCCGCGGGGGGCCCCCGGACGCAGACAGGGATGGGCCAGTCCCGACCCGGGGGCGGAGGCCGGCAGGACGAGAGGCTGCCACCAGACCCGGCAGGGTCCTGCGGGATAGCCCGGCTGCAGGGGCCCCTGCTGCACCCGGGGCTGGGGAGGACGTGCCGGGCGGGGAGGGAGGCTAACACCCCTGCGTGTCAGAAGGGAAGAGGAGAGAGATGGCAGGCTGGCCTGGCAGCCCTTGTGCATCCGGGTCCTGACACCCAGCTGCGGCTACCAGTGGTGCGGGAGCTGCGAGGGTGGGGATCCCAGGGGTGAAGCCAGGAGGGAAAGCACCATAGGCTTGGGCTCGGTGGGCGGCCCCGCACGGAGCTGTGTCCGGAAAAATGGCGGGGGTCTTCATGCTTTACGAGGATGGAGACGGCACGGGGACCGGGGAGCAGGGAGTGCGGGGCCCCCGGGCCTGAATGACATGTGAGCCATTCGACAAGGCTGCGTGGAGAAGGTTCTGGGCATCCTCAGTTTAGCCGTGGCTTCTTCCCTGGAACAAGGAGCAGCCCCTGCCTGCCCCCTCCCCGCCCTCCCTGGGCCAAGCAGCTCTGCCAGAGAGGAGAGGGGCTGCCTGGCCGAGCGGGGGTCCCCTGCGTGCTCCTTGCCTCCTTGCCCCCGCCTCCCAGGCTGTGCCCCTGTCCCTCAGAGGTAGTTCAGGATGGAACTCAGGTCCCAGTTGGGAGTGGGGGGGTAAGGGCTCCTGGAGGCATCGCCTCTGCAAGTCTTGCGGGCCTTGGGCTGCTGGGGGCCTGTGGGTCCCTCTGGAGGGGCAGACAGCCCGTTTCACCCCTGTTTCTCTGCAGTGAGGGGCTGTTTGGCCCCAAGGCCACAGGAGGGGCACCAGCGTAATTCCTGTCAGAAACACGGGGTGCTCTGCTTCTGCGACTCCCAGGGCCACTCCTACCTCTCTTTCTTGTCTTTTTCATTTGGATTGTAGGAGCAGTCCTGGCTTCTAATGGGCTGAAAAGCCAGCCTTGCCAGTCCCCAGCAGTGATGACTCTGGACATTTAAGGGTCCAAGGGGCAGCGGGCCGGGCAAAGCCCCTGTGGGCCAAGGCTCCCCGGAGTCCCCGTCCAGGGAACCCAGGAGGTGAGCTGGCTGCCTGGGTCACGAGCTGAGCGGTGCCCCTGGGACACCTGCTGGGGTCCGGTGCACAAAGGCTTTGGGGACAGGAGGACACAGGCGGTGTCCGGCTGTCTCGGGTTCTGCCTCCCCCGCCCCACGCCCCATGCTGTTGGCAGTGTGGATGGCCACCCGTCAGCCGCTCTGCAGGTGGTTCCCACCACCCCCAGGGACCTTGCTGACTGCCCAACCCCCTTTCCCTGTCCTCCTGTGCTGCCCGTCACAGAACCCGCCCTCAGACTAGCAGGGGCGCGTGCAGGTGATTGACAAACACCTGTGTCTGAGGTTCTGGGGACCTGGGTCCATGTCCAGTCCCCTGGGGTTCTGGAGGGCGATGGGCCCAGGGGCTGGTGGGGCCGTCCAGGCTCTGAGCTCCACATGGCTGCCCCTGAACTCTGTCTGCCGCGGAGGCCCTGCCCCAACATCCGCCAGGAAAGGGGGTGGGCCAGGAGGAAGCCTGACTTGCTTCTCGGTTGGCATTGTTGGCCCCGGAGAGCGGGTGAGGAGGGTGCCTGCCTGTCCCTGCGTGCTCTGTGCAGAGGGAATTCCCACCGCCTGTCCTGGGTTTGGTTTGAAATCTCGGAGCTCAGCATCAGGGCTCAGGGAGGCCCGAAACGAGGGGGTTCCCTTGTTTGTGCGACCTAGCAGTGCTCTTGGCAACCTTCCGGGCGAGTGAGCAGGGCCATTCCTTGTCTCCTCTGTCCCCGAGGCTGCTCCCGTCCCTGTGGCCACAGCGGGGGGTCTGGCCCCGCCTTCCCTAGCCCTGGCCCCCCTCCCGGCCCACCCATCACCCCACGTTCCCATCTGAAAGGGGACTCTGTGTTCTTCTTTGTCCTGATTGGTGACAAAGCCCCAACCCCAGGAGCACGGACCGTCCATCTGTAACGGCCTCTCGTCTCTGACCCCAGGAAGTAGTGAGGCATAATGACTGCTCTTGGGGGGAGGCCCAAGGGCACCCCGGGGTGGGCAGCCATCGCCTGTTCTGCCTCATCTGCCTCACCACTTCCTCCTTCCCCGCCGTCTGCCACCTTCCCTCCCTGGGCGGCCTGAACGCTGGCCCACTTCTTGACCTGTGGGGTGGGACGGCGTTCGGGGGGCCCTGCTGGAGCCCAGGCCTCTTCCGGTGGGAGCAACAGATCTCCTGGGAACCCGAGACCGGATCACAGTGGAACTGGTGCTTGTGGGAAACGGAACTAGATGGGTGTCTCCGGGGGGCTCTGTTGTGGCCCTAGCTGGACGGGACGCTCGGTGGGCTTGCTCACGTCCAAGGCGCCAGGGTGTCCCCCGAGGACTTCTGCTCTGTTCCCCATGTTTGTCCGGCGTTGGCAGGAACGTTCGAGCAGCCACAATGCGTCAGGCTCTGAGCAGCTTCCTGGGGGTCGTGAGCTGGAGCGGGGTCCCCACCTGCCCGCATGGCTTCCAGCCCGCTCCACCAGGCCTGCGCTGGCCCATGTCTCCGGAAGAGCCTGCAGCGGGGGCTCGTCGTAGTGGGAGAAGCAGCGACAGACTGACTCACAAGCAAAGCTCTGAAGGATGTGCAGAGGCCTGCCTGGCAAACGGGAGGCCGTCTCTCCTCCGACCCCAACCCTGTGGCAGTGTCCTCAGGGCACCTGTGTTCCCGGGGAGGCCTCCCTGCTGACCCGCAGCCTGTCCTCTTCCCCCAGCGGCCCGCGGGTATGCGAAGCCCCTGGCACTGAGGCCGCCACCCGGGCATGGAGGGCCCCGCGGAGGAGCCGGCCCCGAAGGGGAGAGGGCCCACGGCGGCACCCTCGGGAGGCGGCGGTGGCGGTGGCCACAAGGCCCAGAGAGTGGCCATGAGCCCATCGGTCGTCTGGGAGCGAGCAGGGCCCGAGGAGGCCGAGGCGCTTGTCGGAGGCGGTGAGTACAGCGCGTGCCGTCCACCCCACTGTCCGGCCGCCCACGGCTGTCCCCCAATGAATTTACCACTCTGTTACAAACCCTCATGCGCCCACAGTCCTGCTATGTCCTCAGGACAGAAAGCCCTGGAATTGCTCAGAAGGGGGCATCCCTCTCTACCCTGGGAGGGCACCAGTGGCCAGCCAGGACCAGGCCAGGCCGCTTCCTGGCGGGAGGAGGATGAGCCCAAAGCCGTGGGCACATGAGGCCGAGCCCGGAAGCAAGGCTGGGATTCCTGATCGTCACTGGCCAATGCTTGACTGGGGCCTCAGTTTCCCCACTTGGAAACCTGAGGGGTGGGCTGGGCGATCTCATGGACCCCACTCCCTACCTCCTTGGGCCCTGGAGGTGAGGGAAGGAGGGGGGAAGACCCTCCCTGAGCCCGGGACAGCCTGTGGCTCCGGCCTCCCCCCAGACTCCCCTGTCCTCACATGTGCACCCTCCTCCAGGCCACCTGCCTAGCTGCCCATGGGGTCTGGGGCTTGGCACACAGGACAAGCTCAGTAGATGCTTGAATGATCAGTGAACAACGGATGCACTGGGAGGATGGAAACAAAGCCTCACGAGGTGCATAGTGCGAGCTAGAGGCACTTCGTACCTGTTGCCTCAGGCCTTCTGGGCGTGAGGGAGACAGGAAGGACCGGGGTGGCCCCCGTGGGTGCCGACTCACGATGGGGTGTGGGCCTGCAGTCAGACGCCTGCCTGGCCAGCAGAGGCCTGAGCTGCCACCCAGTTCCAGAGCCTGTGCTCCGCTCCGGCCCCCGGGGGCGCCCCCTCGGCTGGCCCCCTGCACTCTGGAGTGCCTCACTAATCCTGCCAGGCTGTGAGCCGCACCCGAGACACCTCCCAAGGCCGAGAGGGCCCGTGTCCCCCTCGGTGAGTGACGTGCAGAAGGACCAGGACGCAGCCCTGTCTGCCCCAGACCCAGGGTTCCTTCTGGGCCGCCCCGTTCCCTCTGTGGTCAGTAGGACAGTGGCCCCCAAGCAAGGCCACATCCTAGTCCCCAGACGTGTAGCAAAAGTGATTTTGTGGATGGGGTTAAGAATCCTAAAATGGGAAGATAAGCCCAGGGTCAGAATCGGAGACGTTGACGGTGCCTGGCTTCCGGCTTGGAAGATGGAGGAAGATCCACAGGCCAAGGGCGTGGGTGGACGCCTCTGGGAGCTGGGAGACAGACTCCCCGCGGAGCCTCCTGGGGGCAGCAACTCTGCTGACCCTTGGTTTTAGCCAGTGAGACCTTTCCAGACTCCAGCCCAGCAACACAAGACACTGGTGGTGTTTTCAGACGCCTCTAAGCTTGGGATAGTCTGTTGGAGCACAGGGAGAACCTCACATCCCCTCCATCCTCCTTCGGCTTTTGTGACCTGGAGGCAGGGAATTCGAGGGGTCAGTGGTTTGTATGGGTGTGGGCACACCTCTTTTGTTCCAGAAATATCAGGGGCTTTGTGCCCGCACGGCTGAGAGTTGCCTGTTCTGACCTCGATCTCACAACCCTGCTTTATTACAGATGCCAGTCCTCCCCCTGGGGGCTCCGGGCCGGCTGCTGGGACCCCTCCTGGCCAGATGGGCACGTACCCCACAGGTAGACGTCCGCGGGTACCCCAATGTGCAGCAGGGTTCAGCCTGGGAAGGGCTGTGAATGTGGGGTCCTTGGGTGTGCCACTTCCCTCCAGCCTCGACTGTGCCCTGGACTGCGGGTTCAGAATGCCTGGTCCCCAGACTTCCCTCCCGGGGATCGCTGTGGGGGAGGGGAGGCTGGTAAAGTGCAGATGGCCAGGTTCTGCGCCCAGACTCTGACTCGGCCCCGCTGGGGTGCGGGGCCCAGGACTCTGCCTTTCTGCTTGGGGCCTAAAGGCCGCAGTTGACTGCCCTGGGGGCTGGGCCACATGTGGGGGAAGTGAGACTCTTGGGGAGGGGTCACAGGTGGGATGTGGTAAAACCAGACAACCAGTCCACTGTGTTGTGGGGCCGCAGAGGGACCCGCATCTGGGGAGGGGGCTCCGCGAATCAGCAGGATTTCTGCAGGGCGCAGATGAGGGGAGGCAGCCCTGGGTGGCAGAGGGGGACGGGGCGGTAAGAAGCCCCCGACCCCTGAGACCCCACTCCCAGCCCCCACGGTGGCGGCAAGAAACCCCAGCATTGTTGGTGGTTCACTTTGCCTTGACACCCGCCTGTCCTCCGACGTTCCTTCCGGGGGGCCGGCGCTGCCTGTGGTCATCACGATGACCAGGGGGTGTTGAGCAAATGGCAGATTATTTTGGGTCTGAAAACGCCACCCACCCTCTTACGGGAATAGGAGGTGTCACATCTCAGAACCAGTTGTGAAATGTTGGGCATGCTTCCTGCTAGGGGAGTGAGCCTGATTCCAGATCCCAGTGGTCTCCA